ACGGCCCCACCGAAGCACCCCCAATGCCGCGGGACGTACCGCTGGTGCTTCCCGTGCCGCTGCTGGCGCCCGGTCCTGGTGAGGAGACGACTGTCCGGTAGGTGGGTGGCGGAGGGGGAGGCGGGGTCGCTCTTTGTCCCAGCCCAAAATCTTTGGGAGAGGCAGCTGGCTCCAAGTTATCATCCTTAAGGTGGGTCTGCTCAGAAAACTTCTTGTGAACTTCTTCCAGCTGGAGCGGTGAGGGGAGCGGGCGGGAAGGCTCGGCCGCTGGAGCATCGGCCGGGCTGCCCACTGCTGGGGACCCCGCTTTTTCCCGGGGCGTCAACTCTGGAGTCACATTTTCCGGGGACTGATCGGAAAAATTGACCCACTTGTCTTCTGCATTAACAGCAGATGACTTGGGGGATAGCACAGGGCCAAAAATGCTGTCCAAGTCATTGATGGACGGAAGTTTGTCACTTTTGAGCTCTGCTGCTGCCTGGTCCCCTCCTGTGGTCAAAGTAGTTTATTTTACACTTAGCATTAACCGAGAGCGCTGCAGTCATGCTATTCGCTATGGGGCTCTACGTCAGCTACTTTCTAGAGGAGACACTTTAAAAGCATGTTTTCTTATAAGCTGCTGGGGAATATAATTCATGTGCAAGAAAGTTTCTATGTCAGGTCATGTGCAATGTATAATGAGCCACACTGGAGTGAAATACATACGCAGTATGAGAGAAAGCATGCACCATGAGCCAAGCCCACCTCCTCCTCCTCCATCACATCACACACAACAGTCCCATATCCTCCCAAAAGTTACAGCTGGCCCTCAGCCCTTGTTACATGTCGTTACGTCATCATCATAATTCTGAATTATCAGCAGATATTAAACTCATGCTCTCTTCCACACTCCACTATATATATTTATAAATATGTACATATAAATATATATATTTAAACACGCTGGCTTGACCCTCTCAAGCACTGGTGCTGGGCATGCAGTACAGGAAAGTAGGCAGGGAGTATGTATTTCAGCTGCAAGCAGCAGCAGATAAGGGTATTTTAGGGCTCTGCTCACTAACCGAGCTACCACTTATCAATGCTCATATCTGACTCTATAACCAACACGGAGACAGGATTCATCAACAAAATATTACGCATCCAGAGGAGGAAAATCCTCCCTTCTTCCTTTTCTACCCTGTTTTCTTGCATTTCTCTTCCCCGAGGGCTGGAGCTTGGGGAGCTGGCAGCTCTCTAATATGGGGAAGGCTGCCCTGTACTTGGTGACTCCATTTTGCACAGACTGAACAGAGGGACAAGGAGAAGACCAGGACAGTGGGTGGCCACAGCACCAGGGTAGCACAGGAGCCCCAGGCCCCTGCTACAGCCACATGCACACTGCTAAAACTAACATGTCCTCTGGGATCCTCATGCCAACATCCCACCCCTGTTCATGTGTTTGGGAGAGCCATCTGTGGTTCTACGTCTGGGGAATAAAATATCATTTTGCTAGAATAGACCCCCACCACTTGCTTTACTTGATGCACACTTCAGCCTGTGCATCAAGCCAAACCCCAGCAAATAACCCATCACACATGGCTGGGCATCACGTTTGCTCATGTTAATGAATCTATGTATGTAAGTGGACACTGCCTGTCTGGCTGCTTAGATAAATATAAAAATCAAGATATGGGAGCACGAATGAAACATTGATGGATAGAGCAGTAAGCTCGCAGCAGGGGATTTCTTCATGGCGATGCGGACCAGGACAGTGGGTGGCCACAGCACCAGGGTAGCACAGGAGCCCCAGGCCCCTGCTACAGCCACATGCACACTGCTAAAACTAACATGTCCTCTGGGATCCTCATGCCAACATCCCACCCCTGTTCATGTGTTTGGGAGAGCCATCTGTGGTTCTACGTCTGGGGAATAAAATATCATTTTGCTAGAATAGACCCCCACCACTTGCTTTACTTGATGCACACTTCAGCCTGTGCATCAAGCCAAACCCCAGCAAATAACCCATCACACATGGCTGGGCATCACGTTTGCTCATGTTAATGAATCTATGTATGTAAGTGGACACTGCCTGTCTGGCTGCTTAGATAAATATAAAAATCAAGATATGGGAGCACGAATGAAACATTGATGGATAGAGCAGTAAGCTCGCAGCAGGGGATTTCTTCATGGCGATGCTAATAACGCCCCGAGGTACTCTGTATGCATGTGTCCATACAGTGTCCCCGTCCAAAGACCAGGGACCGCCCACCCTTCCCCAAAACCTGCAGCTCCAGCAGACAGCACCCCACCAGCAACATGAATTATATGCTTATAAGCACTTATGTCCTCTGGCTGTGTTCAACAACATCTTTCAATCCCTTCCATCAGGCTGTCCTTTATTCCAGGTACTGTTTCATCCTCCCTTCCCTGCCCCTCCGCATCCCCACCGGCACATTCCACATGCCCCATTATTTCATCAGCACAGACTGTGCAGTGCTACTCCCGGCAGTATCAGCACTCTAGTTTTTCCCAATTTTGAGCAGAACTTTAAGGTTACTGTTGCATTCTGTTTCTAAAAGTGACGGATATCAAAGGCAGGGGGAGGAGAGAGCTTAATTTCACCAGGGTGATGCTGGCTCTAGAGGCAAAGGCATCTTTGCAACTAAAGCATCACCCTGACTGCAGCATCCGCTGAAGCACCATGAACGCAGGGGAAAGAGGATGCACGAGGGCCAAATCCATGTCCGAGACATGGGAACCTGACCCCCCCAGCACGGCCCCCGCAGGTTCTGGATCAGTCTACCAGGGCTGTGCAATGGGCACACGCGAGGAGTGTGGCGCTGAGCTTTTACCTATTCCCACCGTCAGAGGAGAGCCGGTGCGCGGTGGTGTGGCCGGGATGTTTTTCGGTGGCAGCGGTGGAGGTGCTGCAAAACAGAGCAGAGAGAGGAGAAAAATTCAGTGGCAGCATGTTTGGGAGCGTGCATGGCTTCACTGGGAAAGGGGGATCCAGCAGCACCAGCCCTAGGGTGACTGCTGGGTGAGTAAGAGAATCCCTGCAGCCTGGGATTTTAGTGTTTCAGCTGAGCAGCAAACAATTGCTGGTGGCCTTTTTTTTGGGTTCTAGGGGGTTTTTTGTTGGTTTTTGGTTTTTTTTTTTATTTTTCATTTTTAAATCTTAGATTGTATTCATCTTTTAAAACCTGCATTAACACTTTAATGTATCCTCTGAAGCACATATCTGCCTCCAAGTTTCTCATGTCCCCATCTCACACAGATCCAGGAGGCACATATGGGAGGAGGAATGCCACGGCTAATTAACCCAGCGCTGCTTTATGGGGGGCATTTTTGCAAAGCAGGGGTAAATAGCATCCAAATCCAAACCTCCTGAAGGAGCAGTCTGGGAGGCACCATGGCTGCGGCTCGGCGCCATTAAGCACCCATTTCAATCACAAGTGTCACAATCTCCTTGCTGCAAGCTTGTGACATGGCCAGAGGTTGCCTTGACCTTGGCACATTGGCACTGGGCAGCTGGCAGCACCAGGGCTGGGTTTGGCATGAAATAGGTTGTGCTAACAGCTAGTGAAGGGCAAGAGGAGCGGGGGAATAAGGAAAGGATGACTTTGCAGCTAGGGAGGAGCAGAAGCTGCGGTCCCCCTGGCTGCCCCAGGCAAATGAAAACCAGGGATTTGGGGCTGCATTGCCCTCCCTTACATTAGCCCAGAGAAAACAGTGCTTCTGACCTTTAGAGCCAAATAACTGCATCATTAACATGAATGATCAGGTACTGCTCGCCTCCGAGGGCAGGGTGGGCTTAACCCCCAGCTCCATGCAGGCCACTTGCCTCAGCCGGAGATGTTTCTCCTCTCAGGTCGAGCACACACCATGAAGGAGGGCGTGCATTGCCTCTCCCACCCTGGGTACTCTCCATCCCATCCCTTGTCACACCCCTGTTTTTCCTCTGCCCTAGCACGCTGCAGCTAGAGTCAAGCCAGGGGAAGAAAAACCCCTCTAACTCACTATGGGATTAAAGTATCACAGAATTGCACAGCACAGGAACACAGATGAGGAAAAGTAAAAGATTTGATTTCTGTATGTACGCATTTATTTTCAGTTGATAACCTGCACGGTCACTTACTTCCAGTTGGAAAAGGTCTCGGTAGCTTTGGGGACTCTATGCTTGCATTGATAGGCTGGACCGAACCCCATATCTCAGGCTGATCTAGAGTAGCTGAAAAATCAAAAAAATAAATAAATATGCATGGGAGGGCATTGATAAAACTCAGTTCTTACAACTACCAAAACACACAGATGAGATGAATTCATCTGAGGCTTGTAAAGCGAAGAAACTAGATAGTGACAGAAACCTCTCATTAATTAAAGACAGGTTTTTTTTCTCTAATAACAGATAATTACAAGCTTGCCTGATTTTTAAACAGGTCATGCAATTAGTTTGACACTCATGCTGCTTGACAAACAAAACAATGCCATTTACGTATTTGCAGGCTTATTACATTAAGTGAAACATTGCATTAATTGTGGAAATTGTCAGGAATTTTAGGATACACAGAAAAAAACAGGTATTAAAATGAAAAGATCCAATTATACTCACACAGATTGTACAGGAGAAAAACCTCTTCTATATCTCATTTAAATTTTTTGCACTACTTTTCTTAGCTTATGTGTCAAGAATTGCATGCAAGTGTAGTTTTGGGTCATTAATTACAAGGAATAACGAGGCTACAAGTGGCAGTAGCCATTTCATGGTAGCCCAGCAGAGATGGCTGTGTCCAGGAGGAGGAGACCTCTCTGGGAACAAACCACTCCACTGGGTGAATGGGGTTTTTCTTTGGGGAGAACAAGCCTTGCAAGATCGCTGCACCTTGGGAAAGCTTTTAAAAAATTAAAAGTAAAAAAACCTTGGGTGGGAGCAAAGTATCCCTATACTCCTGTCCAGGGGAAGGTTGTTTCTGGGAAAAGACGATGTTACTGAGATGATATCTTCACGGGCACGGGGAGCTGTAAAGCACCGCCAGACAGCTCCATTCATATCATCCTTCAATTAAATTAGTGTGATGCTGAAACGCTGCTGTGGCGTTAAACACTCACCGCTTCGAGGCACACCAGCGGAGCCTGCTAAACAGGCAAAACTGGGTTTTCATTTGAAAATATTTTTAATATTTGTTAGCTGCTTTCTTTCAGGATCTGTCCCAAGACCACATAATTAACTAATTGACTTAAACACTTGCTCTGTTTCCGTATAAACTGTGTAAACCCCAACCCCACACCACCTGTAATACAACTACCTGCCCTTCGCGTTCTGCTTTAATTTTCTTTCCCCCCCCTCGTTTAAGAGGAGGGCTGTGGGGTTGATCACCAGGGCTACCCTGCTCGCTGGCAGAGCTTGGTGCCACGAGCTGTCCCTGGAGCACGGCATGGCCAGGGGTCATGGCAGGAGATGCCACCCATGCCCCCAACCCACC